TTATCAGTGTAACATCTACGACTGACATTTCAATAAACTGTGATTAGCTATGAACAATGAACTATATAAGCATATCATACAAGTAAGGAAATTACAATCAAGCCTTATAGGTTTTTGAGTCAACAGAGCATAACAGTATCGCCAACAAATATGGACATATTCGGTTCAGTAGTATTAGAGCCTCTTTGTTAACTAGAGTTGTAGCCTACTATTTTCCATGAGCATATCCCACACGAAGACAAGACGGGGAGAGAGACATCTTCAAAATCCTTTTTTAAAAAAATGAAACCAAAACTACTGCCAGAGTTACTACCTATGTAGTTGTAGAATCCAGGTCAGTAAGTGACAATGGCTATTTAATCAGGATATCAGTTGACTTTTGATAAATAATGCTCTGTAACAAGCATAGTGGCATAAAATAATAAGCATTCATTGAGCTCACACATTTGTGGGCTGCCTGGGAGACTGCTGATCTAGGTTTGGGGAGACTTTGCTAGAGCAGCTTTCCTCCAAATGTCTCTTAGCCTTCTATGTGGTCAGTAGGAGAACCTGGAAATATTCTTCTCACAGTGCTGGCTGAAGCCCAGAGATCAAGCCCAAGCACATTTCATGACTCTACTGCATCACATCTGGTCACCTACCATTGGCCAAAGCAACCCGAACGGCCAAGCCCGAAGTCGAAGGGCAGGCCGTACACTTCAGCCATCATGAGACCAGAGCGGGTTACACTGATCTGCCCCGCATCAACGGAGCCAGGAAGTATCTTCATGCATTGGAAACGAGGGGGAAGATGTGACTATTTCAAACAATAATCTAATCTACCACAATCCAGCGTCATCTAGATAGCAAAAAATGTGTTGGATCACCAAACCCTACTTTGGCACCTGAACCAGTACTATTACTATCAGCTACATTAGTTAGCTTTGGCTGCAAAAACAAACAGCCTCAAATCTCTGTAGCTTACTGAGACACATTTAGCAGACTGTAGTTTACAGGGGAAACAATGATTTCTTGGCCACATTCCATGTCTCAGCTGTAGGTCAGCTGCTATAGCTCTGTTCCAAGTTGTAGCTCTTCTCATTCTGGACCCACGCTGAAGGAACAGCTCCAGTTTGGGATGTGCTGTTCTTGTAGCAGAAGGAAAGAGCAAAAGAGCTGTCAGAAACTCGTGATGCCTTTACAGCTTCTGCTCTGAACTGGTACCCCACCACCACTTCTGCTTCTCGGGCCTAAAATAGACCAGGACCTCTGGTGTCAGTGATGGAACAGGCTGGTGTTGGGAGGTGGCTGAGGCTATCGTGATGAGAGGAGGGTAGACCTGCCAGATCTCCTAGGGCCGCTTTGCTACCAAGCAGATTCTTTCTAATTCATTCTAGCTTCACAGCAGCCTAGGATGTGCACCCCTAGGATGAGGTGGGAATTGGAGAGGTCTTGGGGGATGAGGTCATTTACATGGTAATAACTTCTTCCAAAAGTCAGGATTTACCAAAGAGAGGTTCCGTGAAAAGTGTAAGGAGAGCATTGGGCAACCAGCCTTGGGCATGGGTGCCTTGATGTTATTATATCCAGAGAGCGGGGATACCAGCTAAGGCAATGGAGGGTTTCTGAAGGTGTGAGGTGACTGTGTAACCGTAAGGTTTCCTGGTGGTCCTACTGTTGACATGGGCAATAGTTCCTTGAGTTGCCAAAAGAGGAGTGATTGATAGCATTACCCCCCAAAACTATAATAGGATCCTGCCTTGGTGCTGGTGCTGGGGTTCAAGTCAAATGCCTGTACTACCTACCAGTATTTCTGAGCATTGAAAGAGGGATTTTGCACATTATCATGCTTTGTGGAAACATTAATATCTCTGAAATAGAAAACTATGGTTTGGCCTATAATTTGACTGAATTCAGCTATTAGCAAAGTGTTTTAAACGTCTTTACGTTTTAAAATTCTTTCTCTTTTTAAAGACAATACTTTGCCTTTCTACTTAGGTTGTACAATTTTTAAAGGCTGGAGATGGACAGGGTCAGTTTGAAGACATTTATTTCAAAACCTGAAGCCCCCATTGAGAAGCAGGTGATTACAAGCATGAGACTGGAACTTACAAGACAAGCCTGGAAAATCTTGTCATGCTAATGAGCAAGGAAGCATTCAGAAACTACTAGAGGTGTGGCAGAGGGACTCAGGAACCAGCAAAGATGAGCCTTGTCTGTCCAAAGACGGGGGCAATTTGAGCATCAGTAGGATAATAACAATAACTGCAGAAGACTGAAACATACACAGTATGTATAAATCCAGGAGGTCATAATGAGGCTTAAAAAACCCATAGCCCACAATGCATTGATCACTTCGAGAGTTCAGGCAACCAATCTGCTAATTTGAAAAGAAAGAATTATGCCTATATATATCCTGCCTTTCCTATAGGAACTGTATGTCAGAGTCATCTCAGTTGATGGGATAAGTTAGTCTTGATATAAGTATTCCAGTAACACATGAAGAAATAATGACAAAATGGGAATATTGTCAATTTGCAATCTCTGATGAATGAATAAATCCAGGCAATGATTATCAGTGGCAGCTAACATCACAAAAGAATAGAGAGGCACAGAGATACTAGGTGTCTCTTAATGGAAATGTACAAAGCCACTTATGAAGTAGTCGTGCCCAAAATGACAAACCTGAACTTGCTTAACTCTAGATCTAACTACCAATTTAGTTATATTTAGTTGTATTCCATCACAGGGAATACAAGACAAAGGGTCATGTTAAAGGATCCGAAGAGAGGTAATCAGTGAAATTTAGACTTCAGAAAACTCAACAGAGAGAAACCCCCGTAGCATTCTCCACCAAAGTTGCTAGAAAAGTTGCTAGAAAAAGAAAACCTATAGATTAAAAAAAGACTGAAGAGGCTTATCAACCTATCACAACACCTATCACTAGGATCCTGTGCCCACAGTGGTAGCTAGGATCCTAGAGTAACTGAAGTCCTGGAGAAACTGAAGTCTGATCAAACCTGACTTTCAAATGGAGATCATCTAACTGCTAAAAACTAGAGTTCAAGTGTCTTGGAAGCCATCGGATCCATAGTTCCCGATCATTTACAATCACAATGATGCAGAGCATTTAAGTACTTCCCTGCTGAAATGATCTCTATCCTGCTCATGAATTCGAAGCGGGTCAGTGGGGGGTGGACTGGACACTCACAGGATGTGGAATAGCAGCTATCTTGGGAATCATCCTCTGGCTTCTCAGCAACACTCATGATAACACACAATGTGCATGGTTAATGCAACATCTTCTTTCATAAGCCATCAGCACACACCATGTTTTCTACACTCTTAAAACCCTGATTTAGATCTTACACATGCTTAGCTCTGGGACTATGTGCAACGTCTTCAGGATACTGATGAATGAATAGCAGAAATACTCATTTGGCCATTAAAACTGAGTACAAAGTATCATTCATTTGATCCAGCTGTGCAGACCAATGGCTCGTGTGACCAGAGCAAGCTGAGAGGGCAGTGGGATGTTATTTTCCCTAGAAGCACAGCTCAAATGTTCTCAGTCAAAGAATGACAAGGATCAACTAGTCTTCATGGTTGGAACAGATCACGTTTTATCTTTACCATATATTTTATGACCTGTAAACCTCAAGGTAAATCATTAATCTACTTCCAACAGTGACAATTGGTCAGTTGAAACCTTTGTCTACACAGAGCCTACTGCTTGTCGCTTAATGTAAGAGTGAAAGAAGAAGGTAGAGATCCGAAAATAACCGACCAGGTTCTGGGGAGCTAGGAAGCTGGGGAGTTGACAATACAACCCACAAACCCATTTTTATCAGAACGTTTCTAGCAAGACAAACTGAATGCTACAAAAGAAAACGATGTTAGCAATATTAATATTAAACATTTAAAAATTCTTCTTATGGACTTCCCTGGCATTGAGGTGGTTAAGAATCGGCCTGCCAATGCAGGGGAACAAGGTTCGATCCCTGGTCTGGGAAGATCCCACATGTCACGGAGCAACTAAGCCCACGCACCACAACTACTGAGCCTGTGCTCTAGAGCCCGCAAGCCACAACTACTGAGCCCACATGCCACAACTACTGAAGCCTACGTGCCTAGAGCCCGTGCTCCACAACAAGAGAAGCCACCGCAATGAGAAGCCCGGGCACTGCAACAAAGAGTAGCCCTGCTCGCCGCAACTAGAGAAGCCCGCGCGCAGCAACGAAGACCCAACTCAGCCAAAAATAAATAAATTTTTAAAAATTATTCTTAAATATTCCTTTTATAATAATCCTCTGTTATTCTGCATTCACTTAGTCTTTTCAGCTAAAGCAAAAATCATATCTTTTTTATATGTTATTCTCTAATTATTCAGGCGTTATTTCAAATACATGCATATGTCTTTAGCTGCATATCAAATCTTTGAAAAGACAAGAATGAGCTTTTAATACACAACCCCCTTTTCTCTTAATGCAGTGACACAGAGGCACCCAAAAAGCCTTTGCTGGAGGAAGGAGGGAATGATGGAAGGAAGGAAAGAAGGGAGGAAGGGAGGGAGGGAGGGCAGATTATTCAGGATGTCTAAGTCTAAAGGTTGAAATACTACATTACTGCCCAAGCTCTGGTCGGCAGAGATAATAATTCCAAGACTAAATTTAAAGACAAATCTTTAGACTTAAATTGAATGTCAAGAAAAGATTTATAGTTCGTCCAATTAAGATGAATGACTGATTAATTACTATGGGGCCTATAGTAGGTGATTCAAGTATAGTAATTCAAGTAACTTGGTGCAGCTATTAAAATATGGACTAAATGACCAATTCACCTCAATTATAATGCTATTACAACTTCGCAATTATTTCTTCTTTAATACACCTTATGATTCTTCCCAAGGTTTTTTTAAAGTCAAACTAAAAATGATTAGTCATATATTTGATAATATGTGCATAAGTGACAAATTAATTCACCCACTTTAACAGTTCTTGTTACTAGTAATGTAAGATTACCTCCGAGTAATTTGGCGAGAGATATTTCCCATTGCATTTCGCGATGCTCCTCAGAATTTTTAATGCTTTATCTCCTTTCTTCCGAGTAATCAGCCAGCGGGGAGATTCAGGAACCACCCTGGTGAGAAGAAGTCTTTTTTGAGTTATGCCTGCGTATCTCAAAACTTAAAAGTTTATGACTTGAATTTCTCTATCGAAATGGATCTTGCGATCAGATACATGTTTCGGAGATTCTGAGAGCTTAGAACTGGCTCTCTGAAACATAGATTATCTTTGCAAGTTTATAATGGACGGGAAAAAATGCTCACTTGATAATTGAATCATTGCTTACAATAAAAATAACCAATATTACATTGCTCTTGCAAGAAGGCTGTCTTAGAATATACAGTCCTCAACTACAAAGACGAAAAAAACTGGGATTTAATGAACATTTAGGAAAAGGTCAAGAACCGAATTTACGTAAACTGGTTTGCTCATATATTAAAATTAGATTAGAGGATGATTAAAATATGTTCATTCTAATAGGAGTCAAATGCATACACCTGTAACTTTCCGATAACTTAATTTTCTGATGCTCTTAACATTTTCTTATTCCCCTGAGGATTCCTGAGTCCATTAATTTGCTTAATAAAACATACAGACAAGCAAATCTTGTTCACTGCATTTAAACTGCATGTTGACATACTGGCAGATATGGTTTGTTGCCTTGTAGTTTTCATAAAAAGATTACAAAATAATAAAACATAATTAATACTCTATTTTAAAGGTGTTTTTCAATTTTATTAATTTAATAATAACTATTAGTCAAAAACCAATAAATAATCTCTAGAAATTCACATAGCCATTCTGGAGATGTTAGAAAATCTCGCCTTCGTTTTCATGTTGGTTTGGAAGCATAGATTCTACATTTCTGTGGAATAAGAATAAATTTGATAATGACCAAAACCACATTACCAGTAATAAAGGAGGAAGAGAAAGTTGGGCAGCGTGATGGCTAGCTGGATCCCTTGCCAATTGGGGATAAAGTAGGCAATTCCAGGGAGAATTATGATTCCAAGGGTGAAGAACATTTGAATCACTATTCCCACAATCCTCCTTTGTTTTGAACCTACTATTTCTGTCACTGAAGGAAAACAAACAGAGAGGTTAGGGAAGCTCAAGACCAGCTCCAAAACAAACAAACACAGACGTTACACCTGTGACATCCATCCATCAGCGGCGCTAGAATACTATACAGGACTCTCAAAGATCCCGAAGCTTCCTTAGGCACTGCCCTGATGGGGATGTGCTTCCCAGACAGCTCAGGTCCCTTCCTCTCCCCCTCTTCTCTGCGTTATCAACAAGCATGTGCCATCCTCCTACACACCCAGCCCAGCACCCTTCCAGGTATACAAAGAATATATGTGTTGGTTTTAGGAAAGCTTAGACGATGACTATTTTGAAAAGTAATTGTAAGTATCAAAACATAAATATAATAAAGTGGCTAGATTTTATCACAGTCTTTAAAGATTTGCATGTTACAGTCTCTTTAGGTGATTCATCATGAACATTAGATTCTACAGATAAATTTTTCACTATCACAAGAGAGTTTCTATCAAATGATAATTCTCTCCACAGTGTTGGACCTTTCATTTGTGTGATATTTCTTTGAAAATCACATGAGGAATTTTACTGTTGGCATCCTTTCCTCCCCTCCCCTCCTGCTGATCTGTTTCTATCTGTCCCTGATTCCATTCTGATCATCTTGGCATATGTTACCTTATTGCTGCCCTAAGATCACAACTAGGAAAACTCACCTAGACTGGGGTCTCCTTAAAAACGCTTCATAGTCCAAAGTTATCCCTTCTGCCCCAGCCATCAACCATCAGTCCCCCCAGCTCTCTCTCTCCTTCCTCGCCCACAAAAAGATCTTCAAAGGGTCCCCAAAGTGGGCAACCCAAAGAGGGGCTGTCCAGCAGTAACAGAAGTGAGTGGAAGCCCACAGATCTGGGGTGATAATCAAAGAGGAGGCTTCATATTTCCCTGGTCACAAATCTACCACGACTTAGAGTGGGTGCCTATCCCAGACACTACTGGAAAGGTAGCAGCCAGGACCTTCCCCAGTAATAGGAGCAAAGAGAAGTTTTTCTCTCCGTCACACTCAGACGTCCAACTTTCTAGGTATGGAAGATAGCAAAGGGTTACAAATGAACTTCTTATTTTCAGGTCATATCTCCAAGTTCTCCACTTGTGTGGAAGGAATAGAATTAAAGAAATAATATTTGAGAGCACAGCAATGTTACCTCAAACTGTATCACAGAAATACATGGAAAATGCTTTAAAAATGTTTCAAGGGGGAATTCCCTGGTGGTCCAGTGGTTAGGACTCTGTGCTTTCACTGCTGAGCGCCTGGATTAAATCCCTGGTCAGGGAACTAAGATCCCACAATCCACACGGCACAGCCAAAAAAAAAAAAAAGAAGTTTCAAGGAACTACTGAAGTTTTTCTAAAGATTAATCTCTAAGAAAACAAAGCAAGAAACCATGTGATAACAGCATGGCCGTGCTAGAAAGTGGTTCACCCCAGTATTTGGTGAGAGTCCATACTTGGTTCCCAAAACAAGATGGAACTTTAATTTCTAAAGAGTCAGCATCTTGCCCCTGCATCCTCCCATTTGCAGAAATAACGTTGCAGCAATGAAGCCTCACCATACTTGCTGGAGGAAAGCTGACCAGCGGCACTTCTCACCCACCTAACCCTGGTTCTCAAACAGACAAGGAGGCGTAGCCAGGTCTTACCAATCACGTAGCAAGTCATCCACGTTCCCTTTCCAAACACGCCTTGTAGGAAGCGGAAGACCACAAACACAGGGAAATTGGGTGCAAATGCCACCACAACACCAGCAATGCCAACACCGAAACAGGATATTAAGTAAATGACTATTCGGCCGTACCTTTTGGAGAAAGAGAAAGGATGAGATTACCTTAAACGTTTTCTTCAACACAATGAGAAGACTCTCACTGCAAGTGTTGTTAAAGTAGGCTTAAGTGCAGAATTTGTGTCCTTTATAGGTTCATTATTACCATGTCAAGGATTGCTGAAAATGCTACGCTTTGTTTTATAGCAAAGCCAGGGCAAATGAAAACATATGCCTCTGAAATGACATTACAAAATTTAAAGCATGGAATGCATCCTTTGGGATTGCAGTTTCCAAAGAGATGACCCTCTCCATTACAACGTTCTTTTCCCATACAGTCACTCCAGCGGCACAGCTTGGACACTTACTAGCATTTCTGTGGGTGGGGTCAGAGGAGAAAGGGACAGAAAGAAGCTAAAATGATCATGACAGCCAGGAGGCCTGGCCTTCTGGCTCAAGTCACGCAACTTTGGGTGAGTTCCTTAAGCAATTCAAGATGCAGGTTTTGTTTGTTTGCTTGTGATTTATTTTTTTCTTTTATCTTTTCTACAGTGAGGCTGTAGAGACCAAACTGAGATGCTAATGTGAAAACCCTTTACAAACTATCAAGTTCACAATAAATGTGATTTGTTCTTAAGTTTTGTGTTTTACTTTCACCATTTACGTAGCCATTATTAAAGCGCTTAGGCAAAAGACACAGGTCACCGCGGGCAATATTCTGAGAGTCTGATGCTAAGTGGTCCAGTATAGCTGTGCCAGATTATTGGCTGGTGAAGCCCTGTCATCAACGACCTTTGAGAGATTTGATTCAAAGACATTTTCCCATAGAAATTTCCATCAAATTCACACAGCATCTCGCTTCAGAGTGGAGACACAAGGAGTCTCGGTTTACCTAGGTTTTTAAATTCACTCACTGCCCTTCCCACTCTCCTCTCACAGATATAGGACCTACTAAATTGCTTCTTGTCCTTTCCTTCAAGAACATAAGAGATTGAAGGAGCTGAAAGATGGTCAGCCCCGAGGTGAGGCAGCATTATTCACGGCTCTGTCTTCCTCCCCAAAGTACCAGGTCACACCTGAGGACAGATGCTCAGCCCCTCCTGGAACACAGGTAGGAAAAGCCCCCTCCTTTAGTCAAGTTACTTTAGTTTGAAGATATGTTGATTGGCTGTGAAAGAGAAACATGCCGAAGAAGCAAAACCTAATGCTTAAATTAGGAAGAGTAACAGCAAAATGAAAGAAATACATATTGAAAATCTGTAACTCAATTCCAAATGGCAGCCAGTTAGGAAAGAGAGGGTTGTGTGCGGAAGATTAAGGAAGGAAAAATGAATTGAAAAGGCTGTAAGGAGAAACAGTAGGAAAGACACAGATAAAAGACAGGGAGAGAGCACCAGACACAGAGGATTAAGGAGGACGTCACATGCCGAGGAGGGCTGGGGGACAACACAAGAAAAAGACGACAGGGGAAGGGACAGGAACCAAAGCTGCTACCCATTTTGAAGTCCTGGTCTGGTCAAGTGCAGACCACCAACTGCCTACAGGATTGGGGGCATTTTGTCTTGAATTCTCCAATTAACTGCTGTCCTCAGCTCTGCAAGAGACACTCCCAGCCCTGCCCACTGCGAGCAGCGTCACGCTGACCCACTGATGCTGGGCTGGAGTGCTGGGGGCAACAGTAAGCCAGACATGGGGGCCAGGGAGAACTGTTAAATCACTGCAAGTCTGTTCATACTGAGAACTGGGATAAAGGACCAGTTAAACAGGAGTACAATAACCTACATCAATAATGTCTGAAACGGGGATATTTGAAGAGAGAGCACGACTGTCTTGAATATATACCCTCACTTGGTGTCTGCCATTAACTGGTATATTTGTGTATTTATGGATCTTCAAGAATAGATCAAATTCTTTTCATGGTTTTTGGAAAACTTTTTTTTTTGCAGAGTTTTTAATTTGTAGAATAAATACAAAAATTTGTTTTAATTAAATGAAACAAATTTGTAAGGGGGCGACCTTATGACTAAATTCATCAAACCGCGATCAGCGAGTTACCGAAGCCCATGGAATCACCTCCACAGCATCCAACCAGCCAGCCGTGGGCCCCGCCATGAAGTCACGGCCTTGCTGCTCTGTGTTTCCTCTCAGATGCATTCAGACCCAAGGGGAGCAGCCCCAACCTTTTGTACAGTTCAAGGGGTGAGGAGACGAAGCTTACGAAGGAAGGAATTAGTGCAGCCCAACAGGTATGAATGTCCTAAGTGGAGGAATTCAGATTTTTTTTCCAAAATTAGCAAGAATCGTTTTCTAATAGTTAACATGAAACATCTTCCTCTCCATAGGTACACATCATTTTCTAGATGTAAACTGGCTGCCATACCCATGCCTACCTGTCCGCTGCATAGCCCAAGGTGAATGCCCCGGCCAGGAAGCCCAGGTTTAGGATGGCTTGTGTGAGGTCCAGCATCCACGCATTGACACACACGAGGTCAAACTGGGAAAACAAAGAAAACACATGGGAGACGGAGACGTGTGGCAATGCTTACCCTCAAGACACCTGATCATCTGTCCAGACCAGTGATCCTCAAACATTTTTGCTCATGTGCTCCTTAAATAAAAATTTTAAGTGTATCACATAGATATTTTTACAGTGATAGATAAACGTCTTCTTTATCAGTTTCACTATGTGCCATGGATGTAATTTTCAGTACACTACAAAGGCTGACATTTTTCAATCGTTCTTTCAACTGTATCTGATAGAGTACCATAGCCACGTGACGCCTACCATCATCCAGTGAAAACAAGTTCTTCAACAGCCTAAAATTTGACACTAATCTGTTTTCTCTTTGAATTCTTATTTTCCTTCCCACATACATATATCCTAAGATTTTATGTAGAAAATGTGTTTTGTGTTAATGTGTATTATGTTAATGGACAGGTAAATACATACTTCTGCATGTAATAAATTATGTACATAAATTGACGTTTAATTAACATTTTTTTCTGTGACAATGTTTCTAACTATTAGAATCCTTTCTGATTGGGTTATAACAGTTACTTTTAGAACACAATTGACAAAAACATAACATATGATGCATCTTGAAAAAGAATTATTACTCAGGAGTAAAATTTTGTTGGAAATGCACTGCCCCTTTTCTAGAAGAATGTTAAAAAAGCCCGGGGTTTTCCGCTTAGTTCATGTAATCTGTGGTTGAAGATTTTTTATTACTAGAATGAGTTAGGGCTCAACATCAATTCTATTCCTGTTTTTCATTTTTATAAATTTATGTGCCAAGAAAACTTGTCTGTATAAATAAATTAATGGGAATGGAGAGAGTTTTGTTACAGTATTGTTACTCAATCCTTTTGCTTCCTTCTCAATGCCAAGATTTACAGAATAATCTATCATCAAAATTATTTTTAACTTTTCTATTAACCAACATGCCATTTAAGACCCCTACAGTCTTGCTGTCAGGAAAGAAACGGAAACCACCAGACTTACAAAAAGTTGTTTAATCAAATCATTAGGGTCATTTACTTTCTTTCTTAGTTACTTTCTTACCAATATTCCAAACTGTCCCACTGTTTGGTTCCCCACAGGTTTTCAAACCCCAGGTCAATACATCATAGGAAGATGGAAGAGACGTAGGAGTCCTTCCACAAAGGGGGAGAAGGATATTAGGAAAAGACCTGTATCCCCATCATGCACACATCCTCAGACAGATCCATTTTGGACATATGTGCGTTGAGGCTCTGAAAACTGATTCCCTTCAAAGTAGCCAGGCCCTCTACCTTGTGATTTTCTCTGCACACCTCCAAATGGTATGCTTGCCTCAGTGTGAAGACCACTGCTCGAGACTGTAGCATGATGAGAAAATTAATGCTGTTGGAATAGGAATTGTGAGTGGTCTTATAGATACATATTCATAATCAAACTGTAATAATATTTATTTATAGAACCTGACTTGTCTTGATTCTACAGCTAATGACCTGTCGACTAACACAGGTGGAAAAAAAAAACTGGGGTCAGCAGTAGCTGGCTCACTTCATAGACTTACTGAAAAGATTTATGGAGATTAAAGAAGTAAGAATATACACATATATGCATAGTAGTAGTAACTTAAAAGAGATTTATTGTCAATGTAGGTACTGGTTTTCCAAAGCAGAGCAATTTCATTTTAAGTAAACTTGCAGATGACTATTTATCTGAAATAATTTCCCATTAGAATTAAACACATAAAGGATGCAATTAAAGTATATAAAACCTCAGAGGTCAAACAGGTGATTTAACCACCAGAGAAAGCATTTTGACACAGAAAAATGTCAGCCAGTGTCAAATATAACCTCTCAAATCCTCCAGCTGAGCTTCAGATAACTTGGTTAACTAAAGATAAAGGAATGCTTTTCATAGATGACACAGCAAGGCCCAGCAAGAGCTATCCTTTTATGAACATACTTAGCTGCTTTTGAACTGTGTGAATTAAAATACCCCGAAATACTCTTTAAACACAGAGATATTCTCTAATATAAAACCCGTGACCTTGGATTTCCCTGGTGGCACAGCGGTTAAGAATCCGCCTGCCAATGCAGGGAACACGGGTTCGATCCCTGGTCCGGGAAGATCCCACATGCCGTGGAGCAACTAAGCCCGTGCACCACAACTACTGAGCCTATGCTCTAGATCCCGCGAGCCACAACTACTGAAGCCCACACGCCTAGGGGCCGTGTTCCGCCACAAGAGAAGCCACCGCAATGAGAAGCTCGTGCACCGCAACGAGGAGTAACCCTCGCTCTCCGCAACTAGAGAAAGCCCGTGCACAGCAACAAAGACCCAATGCAGCCAAAAATAAATGAATAAAAAAGAAATAAATTTATTAAAAAAAAAAACAGTGATCTTTTTCACTCTCCCATAAAAGAAATTGTCAAAAAGGATTTTTTTGTATCACAATAAAATTAATTTAAAATAAATGTTTAGGGCTTCCCTGGTGGCGCAGTGGTTGAGAGTCCACCTGCCGATGCAGGGGACGCGGGTTCGTGCCCCGGTCCGGGAAGATCCCACATGCTGCGGAGTGGCTGGGCCCGTGAGCCATGGCCGCTGAGCCTGTGCGTCCGGAGCCTGTGCTCCGCAACGGGAGAGGCCACAACAGTGAGAGGCCCGCGTACCACAAATAAATAAATAAATAGAATAAAGTAAAGTAAATGTTTAAGTGGTTAAAGTGCTATGATAACTTAGTTTCTAAAGCACTACGATACCATCCAGACCACATATTGTCAGTCCTCTATACTTTGTTTTGCATCTCAGATGCTGGAGGAGTGGAAACTGCAATTCTCAGAATCCTTGCCAGCAGGGGTTCTGTTTAGGTTCTGCCAGTAGGAGGCGCTGGTGCAAGATCAGAAGGCAGGTAGTGAAGATTCTGCTTCTGGCTGTGGCAGCAGCACTGGCTCCAACCGTAGCAGTGACAACAGTCAGTGCTTTTAACCACTCCCCGGCTACACAGGGGCAAATGGACAGGACCCACAGGCTCTGTAATGCTGTGGAGCAGGGCAGGGGTTCTGCAGGAGCTGTCCTTCCTTGCTTTTCTCGCCTTTCCAAAACAGCTCAAACCCAAATCCTTTTATTCAATCCCTTCCCGCTTGAAATACCTAGCCTAGTTTCTCTTTTTATGACTGGGAGCCTGCCATCTTTCAAAAGCACAAAAGAAATTAATATAAACAAATTACATACCTTTACAAGAAATGCACACACACACACATTTAGGTTCCCAGTAGGGAACAGACACTGCAGTCACAAGGATGGAAGGGCTTGGTTTTGACTCTTGCACGTACAGTCAGGAGTCAGACCCCTGCCTCCTGGGGCTGGTGCGTCCTAATCGGCCCTGAGCTCGCTGCCTGCTGCCAAAACAGCTCTGGGTCTGAGATATGCTTTTGTGTCTAGAGAGAGGTTGGCATGTACCAAAGCCAGTGAACGTCACAGGCTGAAGACTTTTTCCTGAAATAAAGTACTAAAAGCTGTTTGTAGTTACCAGGGAGACCTAAAACCCATCTCTTGTCAAATGTAACTAAGTTTGAATCAAAGACACAAGCATTTACGTCTGTCCTAAGGCAATCTACCAAGAACAAGTGAAGCATCTCCTTTTTTTTTCCTAAGTGTACATATTTAAAGTTATTTTTAAATGCTCATAAATCCAGGTTACCCATCCTGTTAATTTTCTTTTAAAGTCACTTTTATTTAAATTTCAAGTCATTTTTACACAAAGAGAATTACTCCCCTTCGCATCAGCAGAAAGCCAATCTGATAAAAGATTCAAACAACTGTTCATGGAATGCTGGAAGGGATCACATTGCTTCATTTTGCAGAAAGCACAACTCTAGCCTAATTAGATACTTTCGAAGAGCTTCCAACCAAGTGACTTTTTTTAGCTTTTCCTAGTCATCAAAATCCAAACAGACATTATGTTAACTTGGGTTGTAATGATAAAATGCTGGAGCAGGTCATTATCAGATCTATGCTCAAGTTTTGATTTCTAAATTATCCTTAGAACCAGAGTAACAGAATATCTTCAATATACAAAGGCCAAAGGTAGGAAATAAGGTAAAAATAATGCAGGGATGCAAGAGACTTAGGACCTCAGGAGGGGGGCTTGCCCACTCCTGAAACCACAGGGAATGACCCCTGATGACCAGCAGCTGGCTTTTCCATAGATGTCTTGTTTCACCTTCTTGAACAAATTCTCACGTGAGAGATTCTAAGTTTAGAGGGACATCACAGTATTTGACTCCAGTGTGCCTTTGGTTTGACCACTGGGTGTAGGGTGCCTCTGGCTACATTTAGCACTGGCCAGACAATCACACGTTGACCCCCATGGATGGATTCCATTTCTAATCAACAAGCCGCCACCACAGAGCCTAATAATGGTTAAAAATAGTGTAATCACAAAGAAAATCATTTGGGTTGGGTCTCCATGAGGGGGAAGGATGTCATTATTAATTCTAGTTTCAATGAAAATTTCTTTAACATGATCCGATAGCATTAGTTGGGTATCTTAATGCCAAAAAGTTAATGCTTTTCTGATCTGTATGAAGCATCATGATGAGCTGCAGGTATGAAAACCAATCATCAGGTATTTACAGCTTCCAGTGGTGGGCGTGGCATCATGCAGACGAGGCTGGGAGCAGTACCAGTGATGAGCAGGCTTTGCTTCTGCCTCTGTGAGGAGCTTATTATACGGCTTAGAGAGCCAGGATCAATTCATGGGCAGCAAATGCAGAGGAATTGAGATCTGAATGGAATGGCATTGACTATAAATGCGTGAGGGCCTTAGGGAAAGAAAGGACTGCTGGGACCCGGAGCAGTCAGATTCCTGAAGAAGGTGGGACACAAACAGGTCCTTCAACAATGAGTTGCATTTAGAAGGGAAAAAAAGGGAAAAGAAGGGTACTGAGCAGGGCGATGGGCAGCCGAGGCTCAAGGACAGAAGCGTGTGGGCCAATGAA